TTGTGAGCAAGAAACGCATACGATACAAGGAAAAGGGATTTAATTTGGACCTTTCATGTAATTACTCTAAGTGCATATTTATTTGAAGCTTTATAATAGATCAATATTAAAGCTATATGAATTATTTCTCTTATCTAGTATTGGTTGAATTCAATATTAGTCTATTTCAGCGATTTTTTATAAGACATAAAGCTATCATAAATTAAAATATTTCAAATTTGTTTTCATTTGAGAGTTAAGCTAAACTATGAAGATGTTATTAAGAATATAAATCAGTGGATATTTTATATATTTTAGATATTTGCCCTAAAATAACTGCGATGGGATATCCTGCTCCGGACATTATTGAAGGCATTTACAGAAATCGCCTAGAGGATGTCACGTGCACGTGTCACTTTAGTTAGTCAGCTACTTTAATATAAGCGCGCCTCTTCAATTCAAACCCAAAATCATCGCACAATTCTAAGTTGTCGTAGGCACATTTAAAGGCAAAAAGGCATTCAAATGCTTCTACAATGATTACCCCATCATTTGTCAGCATCGCGGCCCCTTCGTACACACAATCAAACATATGTATGTATGTAAGTGTGAGTAGCTCACAAGATCTACCAAATGCGAATTCGGGGATCTGAAATTGCTACAGGCAGTAAGAGCTTCGCATACAGGCATACATATGCTCATACATGTATCAAGGGGCTGTAGTCTGCGTGTGCCCGATCGTCGCGAAAACATTTTTATTATGAACACCATGATCTTGGCAAACGATTATAAACACCACGATCTTGGCAAACGATTTGAAGAGTTCGGTATACTATACACAGAAGGGTAGACATGGGTTCTTGCTGCTGCTTGTGCTCACATGCATATTACACACATATACACATTTGAAAGAGCAGAGAGCATCGAGAGAGAGAGAGAGAGAGCAAGGGAAACATTGAGCATAAAGGGATCTTTTGTTAAACATTTGACCATCTCGGTCGAGCGCCTGAAGCGAAATGATTGTGCTTTCGTATATTTTCGTAGATCGAACCTAAAAGTGAGGCGCCAAGCGAATCCAAAGCTGTCTGGGGTGCTAAAGTCCCAGAAAAAGTGCGCATAAAGCTTTCCACTAGTTGTCTAGTCTCTGTGCTCTCTGGTTAGTGGTTTACCGAAGAGTTTTTTTTATGGTTTTTGCATTGTCGAGGATACCTGCGTTCGGTTTACAAAATTTGTTAAAATAGGCCAAAGCTGTCTTAAAAATATTAAAATATTTTGACACTTCACAGAACCAGCAAATAGGGATAAACTTAAAAAATTATTTAAAATGTATTATATATTTACATATGTATATCAAAATTTTACTGCAATTTTAGTTATTTCACGAAATTATTGGAAAAAAATTAAACAAATTCAGGTACTGATCAAATGGAAAATATTCTGTAAATATCCTGAAATATTAAAATAGTAACTAAACAGATTACAAAATGAGTCAATAACGTTTTTCATTCATTAAGTTCCTTAAACTAATTCAAAACACTTCGATATATAAGTAACTCTATTTAACATCGCAAGCAGATTGACTCACCCTGTGAATTTCATTCACATTATTGACAGATAACTCGAGAATTTAACTAAAAGTGCATGGGCAGTTCGTCCAGTTTTTTAATATACTTTATGATCGTAAGCTAGTTATTTCAAATACTCTATTTGTGATTAATTAGTTAATGTATGTATGAGCGATCATAAATTAAATTAAACTCCTATAAAGAAAATGTTGACAATTCTAAATCAAATAATCCTAATGAAAACAGTCCAAAATTGAATCAAATCTGTGTTATACTTAAAAAAGGCGATATAAAGAAGTTGGAGCGTGTTGCATGTATGTATGTATATACATTTATGTGCTTTATAACATGTATATACATATACATATCTAATATATTATATATATGTACGTACTGGAGTGCTGGAAAAGGTCCTGTTCTTTTGTGTATTAAGTATTTGTTGATATTCGATGCTGCAAGACATACGTATGTATATGTACAAACTTAATGTTTTGTTCGAACTTATATTGAGGATGACGGCTTATGTATGCATAAATACATATTTATATGTACATACATATTGTGAGCGTGTATAGTTAACTATGTACGTATATATATGTATATTTATGCACAACACATACTGTGTTATGTACTTTGGCAGGCGATATACACTCATACATATGCCTGTGTATGTTGCAGAGTGTATTATTATGTTAATGTATATTATTTATTTACATTGCAGGTTGTTTATAATTTATTGTTGAAAACGAAAGTACATGAGCCATTTTAGTTTGTATATGAGCGTAGACATAAGTATGGATTATAGTAGCTCAATGTAAGTAGGCGTCAAATTTAAAATAATTTATAATTTAATTTATTCAACTTCAGCTTATAGTTGGGTTCGATATATTTAGCTTATTAAAACATATTTAGCTTATAAACATATAAACAAAATTGTATGCAAATGTAGAATAAGTACATAAGAAAACATATAAACAAAATTTTATGCAAATGTAGAATGGGTACATTGGCTTAAAAATTTTTTTATAAGTTGATTGTACTTCTATTATACTAAATAAATTTTTGCACAAATATCCTTATACACAATTTTAAAATTGTTTAATCGTTTAATTCTTAAGCCAAAAAAAAAATTATTCTGTTTATCTGACTGATGTATAATATAGGATACTTACAGTTTTTAGTTCATCCTCATATCAATTCCAGGCTCAAAATAAATTTAATTAAAGTATTACAATTTAAAAAATCTCGAGGTATAATCAAAATATTTTATCAAGCAGGCTTATAATAAATAAACTTATTATTATTATTTTTTTTTTGGACGTTTGAAAGTAAAACTAACTTCTTTTAATCCTCTTTTTCAGGTACTGCATGTTTTCACTAAAAATGGTTCATACAATAACGCTTGTCATAAAATTATTGATATGAAGGGAAAAATAAATAATGAAAAAGAAATCAAAACAAATAGTTATAATAATATTAAAATTTTAATTTTTAAAAGACAATATCATATTTGGAGACTAATATGGCAAACACAATATCCATAATGTCCAATGCGTTACGAAATGTTGTGAGCAAGAAACGCATACGATACAAGGAAAAGGGATTTAATTTGGACCTTTCATGTAATTACTCTAAGTGCATATTTATTTGAAGCTTTATAATAGATCAATATTAAAGCTATATGAATTATTTCTCTTATCTAGTATTGGTTGAATTCAATATTAGTCTATTTCAGCGATTTTTTATAAGACATAAAGCTATCATAAATTAAAATATTTCAAATTTGTTTTCATTTGAGAGTTAAGCTAAACTATGAAGATGTTATTAAGAATATAAATCAGTGGATATTTTATATATTTTAGATATTTGCCCTAAAATAACTGCGATGGGATATCCTGCTCCGGACATTATTGAAGGCATTTACAGAAATCGCCTAGAGGATGTTTATAAATTTATGGAAGAAAATCATGGAGGGCATTACAGAATATACAACCTGTGCCAAGAACGGAGTTATGACATTAACAAATTTCACGGGGTAGAATATACGAAATTTAATATGTTCAAGCTACATTTATATATATTTATTTACAGAATGTTGCAACATACCCGTTCGAGGATCACAATCCTCCTCCGATTGTATTGATGCAACGTTTTTGCCAAGACGTTGAATCCTGGCTTAATAGAGATCCATTAAATGTTGTAGCTGTGCATTGTAAAGCTGGAAAAGGAAGAACCGGTAAGAAATAATAAATTATAGCTGAACGAACGTTAGCATATTAACATCAGGTATTTTTTTTTTTACACTGAACCCATTTTCAATGAGAAATCCGGGAATAATAGTTTTGTTAAAAGTGTAACAGACAGAAGGAGGCATGGCAGACCCAATAAAGAGACATAGGAGACCCAATACGGTATATACAGCTGCGAAATATAAAAAAAACACTTGCATATGCACAGTTTAAGAAGTTCCCCTAATTACATTTATGAATGTATTTATCTACTTTTTGCTTTAATATAAGCGGAAAACAATTCATTATTGCAAAAAACAAAAGTCGAAAAATTGATGAAAAAAAATAGCACCACTTATTAATTTTGCGCTAAAAATTATTCAAAAAATAAAAATGAGTAAAAAGTTTGAACTTATAGTCAATGACAAATGAAAATAAATATACTCCATCAAGTTTAGTATTTGTTTGTTTTGGCTTTGTTAGCAATTAAGGCTGCACAACGCTTAGGCATGGATTCAATCAAGTCCTGGCATCGTTTAAAAGGAATTTCAGCTCAGGACTCCTGAACGACTTCCCAAAACTTTGCATTACTTGTATTAGATTCAAAAAAATTAATTTCTGTCTTCCGTCACAAAGTTTCGATCAAAGTTAGGTCCGCCGACTGCGTTGGCCAGTCGATTAAATTCTCCTGAAACCATTCCTTCGCGTTGTTTCTGGTGTGTTAGGGGTCATTGTCTTGCTGGATGACCAATTTTAGTGGTATATTGTATCTAGCGTCACTTATTCCAACATATGTCGGTCAATTATGGTTTTGATCCAATAAATTAGGCCTACACCATAGTACGAAAAGCAGCCTCATACCATTACACTTGATCCTCTATATTTAATGGTTTTTGTTGTACATCTTGGGTTGAGTTTCGAGTTCTTTCCACGAAGGACCGCGATCCTTTTCCATTAAACACTACCACCTTACTTTCATCAGTCTAAAATATGCTTCTCTACTCCTGCTTCGACCAATTAATATGTTTCTTTGCGAACGCCACCCGTTTGGAAATGTGTTTTATATTGAAATATGGTATTATTCTTGAACGGCGAGTGTTAAAATCGTAAAGTTTTAAGTGTTTCCGTACTTTTTGGTCCCTTGCTGATATGTTTAGGTCCTTTTTAGTTGAGTAGCCGACTTAAAAGGATCCTTTTTACTGTCGCAAATGAGTCGAGTGACATGATATTGGGTCAGAACTCAACGCCGTTCGCGCTTTTCATCACTTTTTTTTATAGATTAATGCGTTGTGGATCATTTTCAATGCTTTCCACGACCCATTTTTTGCAGATTTTTACAAACTTTTAAATTTTTTTAATCAAAATAGATATATAATCAACAGATCTAATCAATTAGTGATTTTAAGGGTTTTTTTTATGTGCGTGATATACACGGACCTAGGAAACAAAATTTCAAGTCTCTAAGCTCTTATATCTTCGGAGATCGACGCGTTCATATGTAAATACGGACGGACGGACAGACAGACGGACAGGGCCAAATCGACTCAGCTCGTCGCCCT